GTGTGTGTGTGTATGAAGGATTTTTGATATATGGTGCATGCACATTCCCTTGGCTGATCGAACACCATTCGCAGGTTAATCTTGATTTCTGTTTTCTTTCACTAGTCCAAAACTCAAATTTCACTAAAAATGGCCACTCACAATCCAAGGCTGTATGTGCAGAGTGCCTTTCAAAACACTAGGTTAATTAGCAATGCAGGAAGTACTCTGAATATGGAAATTTTACGTACTGTGTTTAGTAAACAAAAAGCGCACTAATTCAATTTCCATATCTCAGAACTAGTGAAGCTTGTTGAAAGCACGGTTAGGTCAGAGCATTCACGTAACCCGAACAGACCAATATATCTCGTGGGTGAATCTTTTGGAGGATGCATTGCGCTTGCTGTCGCTGCACGTAACCCAGATATCGACCTCATACTAATCTTAGCCAATCCAGGTAGTTTTAATCATTTGCTTAAAAAAAAAAAAAAGTCATAATAATATGCTATACTGATTTTAAACATTAAAAGCTTTATCTAATTAATCTCCTATTGGCAGCTACATCTTTCAGCAAATCCCAGTTGCAGCTACAAACTCTATTGCCACTTTCAGCGATAATGCCCGAGCAGCTCCTTCATGGCCTGCCTTATTTGTTCACTCTACTCACAGGTTACATTATATATATATTTTGGGCCCCTTTTGCATTTAAAGTATAGTACTTTATATAATTTTTTGTCTAATTAGGTGCACCACTAAAGATGGTGGCAGATGCTACAAGCAAAGGTCTTCCTTTTGAAGAAGTGATTAGGAATCTAACTCAGGAGACTATGGCAATGTTGTCCAATCTTTCTGTAAGAGTTGTACCTTGACATGATGACTCTCTGTGATTTTAGTTTAATTCTACATAGAATTTGCTATTCTCATTTCTAACATGTAGTTTGTTATTTATATTTGTGCTGAAGACAGGCCATGTCCGATTTACTGACTCTGGAAACAATTCGCTGGAAGCTCGATTTGCTAAAATCGGGCTCATCATTCGCCAATTCACGTCTTCATGCTGTGAAAGCTCAAACTCTAATACTTGCTAGGTTGTCGAACCTCCCTCATATTTTCGAGATGGAAGTTGTTTTGTATCATTTAATTTTCATTAGCATTGTTCTTACTTCGCATTTTTTTCTTTTCTTTGTAGCGGAGAAGATCAGTTACTTCCGAGTAAAGAAGAAGCTGAAAGACTTCGTAGGGTGTTGCCAAAATGCGAGATCCGTGTGTTCGATGATAAAGGTCATTCCCTCTTCTTGGTAGGTTGAGTACCGCATATATATATAAAAGGAAGAATCAGTAAAAGTCTTATATAATTTGGCCGCCTTGGAAAGAAATTGTCGTTTAAATTACACCCTGCCTTATTTTCAAGAAGCTTCTCAATTTTTACGCCCTTGAATTCTGTTCTTTACCATAGTAATTTTCTTGCATGTTGTTAGCTTGAGGTTATTCATTTAAAACACACATGCAGGAAGATGGAGTGAATTTGGCGTCAATCTTAACCGGCACAAGTTTTTACAGGCGCGGGAGAAGACACGATTATGTCTCGGATTACTTGCCACCGACCCCTTCCGAATTTCAAAAAATCTACGAGCCACAACGGTAAAAAGTAGTAAAATTTTACCCCATTCTAAAAACGACACGTCTGACTAATAATGTTTACTGATTGATTAGGTGGATAGAATCAGTCACTAGCCCCGTACTGCTTTCGACTCTAAAGAGTGGGGAAATAGTGAGAAGTCTTGGTGGGGTCCCTTCTGATGGGCCTGTTTTGTATGTGGGCTACCACATGATGCTTGGCCTTGAACTAGTACCTCTTGTGTCCCGTTTTTGGAGGGAAAGGAATATTCTTTTACGAGGAATGGCTCACCCCATGATTTTCACCAAGCTACGGGAAGGAAAATTACCTGCTTTGTCGGCTTACGACACGTTCAGAACAATGGGAGCAGTTCCAGTATCAGGACCTAATTTCTATAAACTTTTTTCATCCAATTCTCATATTTTGCTTTATCCCGGAGGAATGCGCGAGGCTCTTCATCGCAAGGTAGTTAAAGTTAAGTAAATTTGCATTTGGCTTTTGCAAATGCGAATATCATATCATCGTATCCACTAACTTTCCTTAGTTCGAACAATAATTACTTATTAGGGCGAGGAATACAAATTGTTCTGGCCTGAACAATCGGAGTTTGTCAGGATGGCGGCGAAATTCGGAGCCAAAATCGTGCCATTTGGTTCTGTTGGAGAAGATGACATCGGTCATGTAAGCTTCTGTATTCATCGAGCTTTTCTAAAATTGTGTTTTTTTTTTCTCTTACCTTTGTATTTTTTTTTTCTTAAATATTGGTTAGTTACTTCTCGACTATGATGAGCTGATGAGGATTCCGTATTTCAAGCATGAAATTAAAGATCTAACAGATGAGGCAGTCAAGTTGAGGTATATTATATATTGGTTTTTATCAACTATTACTGATTTAAAAATAATTATTATGTATTGAACACTTGAAAAATGTACAGTGTGATTGTGTGCGATCATCACAGGAGTGAAGCTGTGGGAGAGGTTGCGAATCAAGATGTTCACCTTCCAATAATTATGCCTAAAGTTCCGGGCCGATTTTATTACTTATTCGGGAAGCCTATAGAAACACAAGGTATGGTATTAATATGATTCTTGCATATTTAAATTTGAATGGAAGGGGAAAATGCAGACATATATGATATATTATCCTTCCTATTTTTGTTTTTTGTTAGGGAGGGAAGAGGAATTGAAATGCAGAGAAAAAGGTCATGAGTTGTATTTACAAGTGAAGTCTGAGGTTGAAAAATGTCTTGCTTATTTGAAGGAGAAGAGAGAGAATGATCCGTACCGGAATATATTTGCTCGTTTGAGTTATCAGGTGGCTCATGGCTTTGACTCTGAGGTACCTACTTTCGACTTTAGAAAAGCTCGATGAAGTACCAGGAAAATTCATTATTTCGAATTGATGATTTTTTTTTTCTCCCCTCCATTTTGTTTGGGAAGAATTTGAAATGTTGTTGTGTAGGTACTAGGTATGCAGCAGGAAAAATAAAAAAATATATTTAAAAATCAAGAAAAGCGATTATATTTGTACTGGATTAATTGACAAAGCTGTGGCCTGTGAGATGCCAATTAATAATGATCACTCACACCTTCACCTAGAAAGTTGTTGTATCAGATCCAAGTTATAGCAAAACTTGAACGTTGTTGTATCTGATCAAAAATTCATTTTGCAATGTCAGTGATCATCTATTTCCATTTTATATATATGTCATCGATCGATCATTTGATTTCAGTTTCCTCCAATTTTAAGACAAAGAAAAAAAAAAAGAATATTTAACAGCGTTTGGTGACAGCAGCTGCATACTGGAACTAACCAACATAATGATCAGTAGCAGTTATATATGTTGCATAAAAAGATGTAATAATAATATAAATCCAAATTATCTGCATGTCTATATATATCTAGTGGCCTGTTATTGAGTAATTATTTAATTAATTTAGTTATGACTTGTATGAAGATTACTGATTCTTCACATGACTAATTTATTTTTCATTTTTTGTTTATTTATTTATTTATTTATTTATTTATTTTGTTATGTAGCAAGTACACAACAAACAGTTAAAATGATTCTGAGTCCAAAATAAAGGTCATTAGCTTAAAATGGGTTTCGTGAGCATAGCCAATAATAAATTTATTTCTTTTTTTTTTTTTCAAATTTTTGCTTGATATGAAGTAGAAGCAAACAAGTTACTTATCTATTTTCCCCAAACATCTAGTGTGAAACGCTGCAGATTACAGCTTTCTGATTTTGGCGGTTTGATAAGAAAGCTATTTGAAAAAACTATTTTACCAAATAATAAATTTAGTTGTTTGCTATGGTCAAACCGCTAAAATGAGTAGAAACGGCTCAAAGCTAATGAAAAAGCTGTTTAATAAACACACCCGAACTTCCAAGTCCATAGCCTCCATCACTCAACTTGTTTTCTGCTAAGATATATGGATCAACCCTTCTAACTAACCAACTAACTGTTACGCTGACTCACACTGGTTTGCAGTGTAAGCAATTTACAGCGCTCCAGTTTTTACTTTTTTTTTTTTTTTTGTTTGCTGTGTTTGTGTTATTTTCCTTTGTGTTACTAATTGCACCCTTTGACCAAACCTAATGCTTTCATTTTATTTGTTGTCCATTTCAGTTTCTTTTAATTCATTGTGCACCCTACTAACTATATTATTGCAGAGCAGTCCTATTTTTACTTGACCATAATTGTTCTTTTTTTTTAATTAATATTTTTTTTTTTTAATTTTTTGGGTTAGAATTCCCTTTTTCTTTTCCAATCCCTGAATTCCGACGTTGTTATCAAACAATGAAATTAGATGACTTTGCTGGCACAAAAAAAATTGGTTGACTTTGAGCTTATAAAATTATCAAATTATTAAAGAAACTTGGTTATGTATCTTTGAAACAAGAACTATATATAAAAAGTAAAATGAAACGAAACTCTGTTTAGAAGGGAATTTACAGAAGAAATTTTAATTAAGAATTAAGCAGAAAGGAGATTATTCAATGTTGCTTTTGAGCTTGGTGTTTGACCAACAAAAGTCTGACTTGTGTTTGTATTTTGAGTAATTGTGGGCTACAAAGCCAACTTGAGTTACAACTTGGTTTACAACACCATTGTAATCCAAGTTGTCACCTAAGTTGGCCAAATAGCAATATTCATTTATAAATTACATTTGTTAAGGCAGCTATGAAGGATTGGCTCGATTTTGCGAGCTGTAATGAAAAGGTTTGTTGAATTCTGAGACATAGCAAATGATGACTGAAGCTTGAGCTAGGCAGTGATGCAGTGGTTCCTGTTTTAGTCCTCTATGTATGTGTCTGTCTGGGTTGTGTTGTAATAGCCTTAGTGCTTGTTGCTCAGGATGGTTTTGGTATTGGTTGGTATTGTTTTTTGTTTGTTTCTTTTCTAGCTGCTGTGGGTTGGAATAGCTTGCTGTTATCTCGTTTAGGCTGCAATATTTGTAAGGCCTCCCAGTTACCCAGGAGGGGCTTTCCCCATGTACATTACCATTTTATGGTGTTATGAGAAGTTTTTATGTCGTTGGAAAAAAAAATAAATAAATAAATAAATCACAGTGACAAAGCATTCATTAATCTCACTTGTTTTTAGATAGCTAGGCCTTAAATTTCGGAGAACCAATACCTATATGTATATGTGTGTGCGTTCTTCTGGACACATTAATGACATTATTTTTGTTTCTAATTAATTTTGAAGTGTTAATAATTTTAAGTTATTCACAATCTGTCCCCTCAGAATTGACTACTGTCTGCCAATGACAATGTGGTCCTTCCAACAAGACTCATTCTTTACCACGCAAACATCCTAAAAGCATCTCCATTTCCCCCTTTTTTTTTTTTTTTTGTGAGTTATTGTCAAATCACACGGCATAGTCTTTTTAACAGATATTTCAGATTAGTAAAGCTTGGATAATTATATGAATTCCATTAATTTTATGACAGCCTGCCTTGGTGAATCCATTCATCAGCAATTATGCATTTGTATACAATTTCAAGTTCCAGCTAGAGTCGACTCGTCCGTCATTAGTGTGTTTCTCGAGCAGTGACCTTAAATTTAAGGTTTCCCTCAGAAAAATCTGTTTCTTCATTCTCCTTGTTCATCAGACGGTGAGAGAGATAACTGATGAGAAAGATTTTAGATATGTTGCTCTAAATAACTTTCATCAGTTGTTATACTTATGGTGTCTATATATATTTTTTTTTTAATAAAATTTATCTTAAAGAGTATATTTTCTAAAGGAATGCAAAAAATATGTTTATGACACTAAGAAAAATTAAGTGTAAGCATGAGACGAAAAGGAAGAATGTGGGTAATTTTATTTCAGAGAAATGTGCATGCAAATCATCTGCTGCTGGATTATGGGCCTTTGACCAAAGTATTAAGCTGAACTATGGACCTTAAAGTGAGCCTCACCCATTTGGTTTGGACCAATTTAGTCTGCTGCAGCTACTAATGAATAACAATTATCAATCAATTTATGCACAATAACTAAAGGCTTTGTGTATTACATACATTCCCCTTCCATTTTGGTAATATATGCAATACACATCTTTTATCTTCACTTTCATGGTTCAAACTCATAACTCATGAGGTCACCTCTATCAAATCGGTATAGTTGCTTTTGCTTTTAGACTCGGCCGACCTAACGATTAGTACAGCCCAATATGTTGCATACATTCTCAACTCCAACAACTTCATCAAGCAAGATCAAGATTACTTGCTAACAAATTTGTATGACATATTGACATTCTCCCCCCAAGAATGCCAAAGCTTATAGTAATAATACAAATGGAGATCTCCAAACTCCATGTCTCGAATTTTTGATTGCTGACCTACCTCGACTTTAAAAGAAAAAGAAAAGAAAGACAAAAATATGAAACAAACTAATATACAACAAAATCAAGAAAAAAAAAAAAAAAAAGGAGAATTATGTTACAACTCCACTAGGAACATATGGGGGGCTGTTTTTGGAGTGCTTTTTAAGTGTTTTCTTAGTGATTGTTATTATTGTATCAACTCAGGAATAAGCTTCAACAAGAAAGCCAACTCATTGTGTGAGAACTGTGGCTTCTTTCCCTCAACTTTAACTTGTTCCTCTCCTGCAAACAAAATCTCCTCTTCACACGGCGGCTTCAACATTTTCGTAACAGCCTCCGTTATATCCCTCACAAAATCGACAATCACACCATCAACGCCCATCAAATGTTGCATGTACACTGCCTCCGGCACGTTACTAGAAAAATACAACAACAAAATTAGGACTTTATATTACCAGTTAATCAAAAGGAGCCCACCAGAAAGAGAACTTACTTCAATTTGCCATATGACAGTAGAGAAAGCTTCAGTTCCTTGATTCTATTTACGGCGCCTGGATTTCTGAAAATACCCCTAACTTCCGAGACAACCCCCTGCAGGCCGCCCTCCGAGCACAATTTGATGGCCTCCTCCAAAGAATTTCTTCTCACATCATTGTAAATCTCATTCCCGCCATTCGTGAGGAAAAACACCTATCGATGATAAGGAAAACATTAATACCATCAAAATGCAGTCTTTATAATATAGTCAAAGAACCGGGGTTTTTTTTTTTTTGTTCAGCCAAAACTCACTGGGTAAGCTATCTGAAGCTTCTTAACAAGCAGGGCCGCGTCGGGTTGGAAAGTCGAGAAAATTACAGGCCTTTCCTTGGCGTGATCAAATACAACTTTCAATACGGCTTGCAAGACGTGATTAAGATACTCCTGCTGGTAAACAATGTGATCATCGAATTTCAATTCGATGTTGAACCCAACTGAGGGTACCACTTTCTGGAAAACCTCTTGCAGTGTGCAGGCAGGATCATCAGTCTCCACATCCCAATTAACAATTTTTCCATCCTTCGTTTTCCTCAAAAGGGTTTTCCCTTCCGAACCGGGTTCTCTCTGAGGACCATAGCTGAGGAACTCGGACAGAGACAGTTCGGTGACTCTCTTTTCGTAGATTGTGCCCTGAAATTCCAAATTTTAAGCATTCAGAAAACTTATCCATGTGTGTTGAACAAACAAGAAAACTCAGAAAAGAAATGAACATACATTGTCTTGGGAGAAGATGAAGTTGTCATGGAAAATGATGGGGCACCCATCTCTTGTCACCTACAAAAAATCAGATTCGTTCTTTTCACTCTCCCGTCTAAGACTCTCAAAAGTACAGATTAGTACTCTTTGATTCGAGAGCAAGACTATAAACATAGAGGAAGAAAAAAGGAAAACGCAGAAGAAAGCAAACCAATCAGTATAGTAATAAATCTGAGGGAAAGCGGTAGGTAACTGTTAGTAATTCTTTTTAATTAAAAAAACCCAATCAAACGACGTCGTATAGTATGTCGGTACGCGGCGAGAAGAAACCTAATTTGACCGCTGCGACTTTTTTTTTTTCACACACAGAAAAAAATAAATAAATAAATAAATAAATTTCTCAAAGCCACCGGAAAACTACGAACACCGCCAACGGAGCTAACGAAAATTCATGGCCAGCAGAAAATCGAGTGGCATACCTGAACATCAAACTCAATGAAATCAATTGAGTATTTCGCGGCGGTGTTGAACGAGAGGACGGTGTTCTCCTTGACCGCCTTCATCCTCAAATCCGACGACTGCAACGCGTTCATCCCATTCCCCCTGTGCCCGATCAGCAAAAATTTCGGCTCTTTAAACAACGTCGCCCTCCCAACGCCCACGCCTAGAACACCATCCCACCAAATCAAGCAACAATCAGCAATCGTAAAGGACAAAATAATATCAACAGGAAGTAAAACAATATATATATATATATAACAGCACGGATCGTTCGCATTTAATTACCGCCGGGAAAACGGGGAGAACAGAGAGAAAGGGATGCATTGTCGGGGACGTGATCGAGGTTGGGGACGTCGGCGACGTGGACGGCTTTGAGAGCCATTGCAGAGATTTTGGGAGAGTAAAGGGATGAGGAAGACGGGGATATAATTGGAATTGTGGAATTTGTTGTGAGGAAAGGGCGTTGAAGGAGAGGTATTTATGGGCCTTGCAATGGATCGTGGAATATTCCTTTGCTTAAACCCGTTTTATGCTTTGGATATTCCTTTTGTGATTTTATATATAATGAAAACTATATTATATGTTCAACGACGAAGATGTTCATTAACTCATTTAAAATTAGAATTGTTAAATGAAACAAGCTGCTCGTGAAATTAGCTCGATTCAACTCGAATGCTAGGTACAAAAATAGAGATTCTTTACACAGATTTCTCTACTTTTGTTTGTTGTGGCTGAGTTCGGGTAGTTAATAAGTGATAAACGAACATACCTCAAACTCAACATGCCTCGTTCACATGTCTATTCAAAAGTAAGAAAAACAATCAAATTTTAAGCATTACTACTCTCCAACTTAGACTAATATTAGTTGTGGTTGACATATATATAATACAATTCCTATTCGAAAAAGAGGTGTAAATGAGTCGATTCAAATTAAAAACAGCGGATATTGAATATTAGAGGTGTAAATGAGTCGATTCAAATTAAAACTTTAACCTTTAAGTTAAGGAGTCGAAAAAGAAACTTGAATTTAACTTATTAATGAGCTTTAATGAACTAAATTATGTTAAATTAGGTTATCGTACTTGTGGTCAACTAATTTATAAGCGAATCGAGGTGAACTCTAATAAAACAACTCGTTTTGTTTAACAATTTTGGTAGTACATGAAAAGGATAGGAACCTTCTTCTAGAAGAAGGGGCATATATGTAAATAACAGGATAACATTTGAAATAGGAAAAAGAAAAGAAAAAAGAAGTAGTTGTGGAGGAAACATGCATGATGTGGAGACACGGAAGAAATAAGTGGATGAGATTAGATTTGTTTTCTGTCAGAAGAAAGAAGGCGTTCGCAACGTCATGTTTGAATTTAATTTAATTTAATGAAATGTGAGTACATTGTTATGTGTAGCTGTGGTGTCGCCAGCTACGAACCCTTCACATTATCCGTTTCTTTTTTATTTATTTATTTATTTATTTATTATTTAGTAGTACTAATAATTGATGATGATATTGTATTTGGCACCTTAAATAGTACTCATATTCCATTCATTGAAAAAAACAAAAACAAAAATATATAAAGGTAGATCTAAGTTTAATAAGAGATGTCTTTATTGTATTACAAAAA